TACTGGATTTATTTTGTAACATACCAACTTATATAAGAACTAGTACTGAATACAAGCGAAGCGGGTGAATGTAACTTTTCACCTATAGAGTTAGACACTGTGATGAGTACGAAACCCCTGGTAAAATATTTTGATCGCGATGATTCTTAGCTGTTGTTTGTACAAATGTGGCATTAATCCATAACGCACAATGATAAATCAGAGGGAATACGATAACAAAATTCACACTCTGTGCCCCCAACTTTAGTTCACAAAGAAGTCAGCGACTAAGTTTTAAGTCCTTTCACGTCTCAACCGTACATTATTTTAGAATGTGAGATAGTGAATAAAGTATTTTTATCAAACAGTCGAAGAATCCGATGGCATTCCCAGGGAGAGATATTAAGTAACAGTTCACCATCCGAATTATGAAAGTGTTTATCTCATCGTGTGAGAAATTATGCTTATCTTCCTGGTTTTCATTCTGCACGACATTATATATCGTATCTACAAATATACTATGGGATGGAAAGCTCATAGGAGCTGACCTAATCAAAATCTCATATTGTCAAACAAATTGATTTAAGGTTGTAATGACTCCTGTCTTCATGAAGACGCTTCACTCAATTGTGGAGTGTCTATTTACCTATTTCATGTATATATGGATACATTGATTTACATTTTTTTGCAAGTGAAACTTGTTTGAACATTGTGTACTGTGGATTGCATATGGCACTAAACATTTGTAACAATAACAGCTGTGACTACGGAACACGAGTGGACTCGAGGAAGCTGTAAGAGGCTCATAAGGAGCCGTAACTATTCCATCCAATCACCTTTTGGGAGAATGTTCCAGAATTCTTACGTATAGCTCCCCGAATGGAAAATGCTAATAACGCCCTGTATGCTGATTGGTTGACTGTAACGATGATTTTGTTCTTACTACAAACTATAAATACCTGACAATTTTTTACTATAATTGACATTGTCTGGGAATAATATTCCTTTCATTAGTCTTCTCATTACTGCTTGGAAGGGTTCTGGCGTTCTAGTGCTCACGTTATACGCGGTGTATCAAGAACAACCTTCTAGATATAACAATAGCCAAGAAGGCTTAAGTATCTTGATTGTCACGAAATGCTTAGAGTGGCTTACCGTGACAATGAGGTCTTTCAGGATAGTTCACAACAATGAACGTCCTGCAAGTCTTATGGTTTATGATCCATCAAGTATAAGATGGTCTCTTGAGGGGGAGAACTCAGCTTCATTAATGCAACAAGTATCCACGCTGGATAATGTAGTTTGAAGGATACATTTCCCGAAGTATTCACTATTAGTGACGTAAGCAACCTAAAGTATAAACTCTCTTAGAGCAAGTGTGTAGTTAAACCTTCGAAAGCTAGCTACTCTTGAAATGATGAAATGGTTTTACTTGATAGACGGCATTCCGACTAGATGCTTTTACGACCCAGTAATACTGAACTGTAGGGAAAGTATCCTGAAGTGTTGTGTATTGATTCGACATAGAGTTTATATAAAAGACGGAAAAAGAGCTACTTCAAAAATGATTTCCTAGATATTCCTGGTTCCTACAAGCTATCGCTGATAATTGCAGTTGGGATCACACTGTTCCGTTTGGCTGGACGAGAGGAGTTATTCGAGGTTGTGAAAATAATATTGGATACCGTTGCAAGCATTATGGGGGATTCCTTGGGCACAAAAGCTTTCGTCATGGAATGTATGCAAGTCCCTATCAAACATAGGCATCTCAATATCCTGCTGTGCTCTTTACATGCATGCAGGCCTGCCAGAAGGTAAATGTGATTGTAATTATTGAGAATCTTCCCTCAGGTCCGACAGTATATTTTTTGACTAATGCAAACGATACGGTTTATTTCATGTATACTGCGTGGTCGTAACCATAATTTATGAGTGATTTAACGAAAAGACAGATGGTTCCCAGTATATCTAGCAGTGACTGATAATATCCATAAAACGACCCCTAAAAATTGCATGAACAACCACACGTAGTCGCCAAATTAACAACTGCAGAAACGCGTTATACATTTGTATGATGTTGTGTGGATGTCACAATACTCAACAGAAAACATAACAAGGAACTAATTGGATTCATCTGAGGTCATTTCCTGGTCGTTCCACCGAGGTCGCTTATTTTATCTGTGTCTTAGTTTGCGACGAAAAACGACTTACACCAGTATGAGAAATAGACCGGAGTTACGAATTTTTTAAAGGACGAATAAGCGCAATACGAGATAAAATTATTATCTGGGGAATGCAAACGGAGAACTAACTGGATTTTCCGCTATCCATATGGCCACGTGTTAGCTACATATTTGAGGAGACAACTTTTCACAAATGAGTGCTAGATCTACAGGAAGACATCAAATTGCTTCGAAATTGCAGAAGTGGGAGTCACATGGAGATGTCCTTCCTCACAGTGCTTCTTATTTTCTCAGACGGTAACGAGAACTCCTGGATAATATACAATGCGTTTGAGTGAACAACCGAAGAATACTACTGGCTCCTGAATACCCCTTCACTGTCAAGATCCAGGAGTAAAAGAACATATATATCTGTTAGGACTACTCTGTAATATACCTTAGTCTGATCTTCTATTCTCGTCAAACTCTGCAGCACTTAACCAATACTCATTATCCATACGGAATTTTCCCTGGTCTCATAACTTCAACAAACAGGTCTGTCTCAAGAACGTAAAAAGTTATAGGAAAACCATCATTAAGACTTGTTCACAGAATACCATATATTATCAGTTTTGTGAAGACAGAAAATTCTGGTGTTTTACCGTTGCAGAAACTGAAGTCTTCGCGTAAACACCGACTCCACTGACCATTTTTGACGATTTCACGGTAACAATATGAGGGACTTACAAAGCACATCATTTTCGAAATCTGAAATGTCAAACGCAAAAGACGTTGAGTGACATGGACGCCGGCCTACTAGGTTGAATAGACGATAATTCATGCCTCAACTGACAATCAATTAAAAGACGGACCTCCTCATATACCTACGCATTTGTTGGTACTGATCATGTAGCCACTATAACGGCCATTATTTCGTAAGGAATCTGTTAGAAGTGCGGAGGTTCACAGTGGAGTGGTCTTGATTATAACTTGTGGTTTTTAATACTGTATCAAGCACACAAGGGATTCTCCAGCATCCGGACAGATCGAGTTATTCATCATATACAAGTCACATTTTGACCTATTAAGCATGGTTGTTTTCATATGGCCGTACGTGTGTTAACTATCCACAATATTCCTTGCGTGCCTATTTCTGTTTGACCCACGCTATCCGTATGTTGCTTCTAAATACCGCCATCACACAAACGAAGTTGGCCTAGGTAACATACGGATTTAGAAGTAAGATTCACAAATATATTTTATCCATGTGCCTACACGAACTCAGTTGTAATTCCACCTGGAGCCCTTCTAGGGTTAGTACTGATCTTAAGCCTTGGCAAAGTAGAATTGGGAATGGTTAAGCAGCTCAACCTCACAAAAGCGGACGTAGTTAAATTATTCCAGCCAGAAAGTTATTTAAACCAAGATCTATATTCTGGTGTTCTGAAATTTCATGGCGGTAGTCGAGATTCTTCGAAAGCCATCAGTCCGACGTTCCTTCTAACTACTAGAGTTACAGCTCAATTAGGTATATGGGATTTCCAGACAGTTTAAGAAATTAAAAGTACCATCCAAGTAGCTGTGGAAATGAAAAGTTACAACCCAGTTTAGAATGATGGAAACTCATTGGACACAGACTGGACAAAAAACATTTGCTTTGAACAGCTCCCGTCTTGACGGACATAGACAGGTCAAGTGTTTCACCGGGCAGAACTACAGAGAACCAGGCTAACCATGTCATTAAAAGTTCAGGTCAATCGACGACGTTAGAACAAAAACAGGAGCTGATGTAGCTTAGAACCATCATTTGGTGCTGAAGTTGAAACCTTGGTAAACTGGACAAGCAACACTCAATACAACCTTTCAAGTGCTACGTACTTAAGTCCTTTTATTTGATGATAAAAAATTGAATGTGATGAATAAGTGGGCATTCCATAAGTTGTTTTTGATCAGCCCATTACACTTTTTCAATAATGTAAGGTAAAACCCCGTTTTTTCATTCAACTAATACAACATAAAATAACAACCTAAATTTCGACACCACTAAAAAAGGGATTTGGAGTTATTTATAGTTTATACAATTCCTCCAGTCTTTTCCATTGAAACCTTTTTTTATTTGACATATGAAGCTTGTAAATCTGTATATTGCGTGATCTGAATTACGATAAAGACATTGACGCTCTTGGAATTCGCTCTAAAACAATTAATTTAACATCGCTTGTCAGGAAATTTATGCATAAGTCAGAAGATAATTTACTTCTTATACAGGATGATATTATATCTAGTGACGATACGGATGTGTAAGTATCATCTATTAACTCTTCTGCAGATTATCCTTGTTGACTGGTTTGTGAACCACATGGGAAGAGACTCAAATATATATTCCCTTTATTTGGTAGTACAAGTAGAAGAGCTTATAGTATTTGGACTACTATAAGACGAAGTTACGAGTCAACATAATGAACCAATTGTCCGTAAAAAGGGACGGGAATTATTATGACTGAAACTTAAGCGCACCCAGTATTCTATAACATGAAGTGAATATTCCATATGAGAGTGAATATGTGAACTACAGTATATTATACACTGCTTGGAACAGAATATCTAAGACAAGACAGAAAGACAAATCCATACAAATTAAGGAGTGAAGAAGCGAATACATACCGACTGTATATGGGTGGTCTCTAAATAGAAATACATACACATACCATTATGGAGCAAATTACAGGTGAAAATTTAAGTGTATAATAAGTTTGTAAAGAAATGATGCTAAAAGAGTATCCAGAATGGCATGAGACATGAATTAAGATATGAGTGATCATTTGGCGTTAATTTTGAGGGTTAAAAGTGGAATTTTTGTTAACTTTGAGCATCCAGTTGCGTTTTTGCGAACACCCTGAAAATAATCAAGAAAGAAAGTGGGCAAAACACTTCTATAAATATATACTGAAAATAATCTACTATGAGACATGAGGAAGTGGGAAATTATTTTATGCGTCTTATCATTATTATTCGGGGTGCCCTATGAAGCAAACATTATTAATGGGTCTACAGTCAGTAAGATGAAAACATAATATGAAGTAGGTGTTTGATAAATGACCATGTTTAATGTGGAGAAGGTTGCAATGAAAAACTTACCGTTTGCCAAAAATGTTCACTACTTTGACTTAATCACTGAAAAGATTATTATAGGACAGCGAGATTATATACGCCATCCATAATAAAACCTTTATATCATCTAACAATCAATTCGAAATGTAAATGTTTTTGATCTAAAGGAAATTTACTGATGATAGTTCTCCGACGACAATCGCAAACATTTGTACAATCATACAAAATAACATCTATACATTTGTAACACATTCATGAAAAACACTACTTATTAAATGTTGAAATAGAGGAATAAAAAAAAACAAACAAAAAGCTGTAGTCGGTAAATAAATTTGGATTAATGATCTTAATAGTCGACTTGGCATAAAAACAGAAGACAAAACATTCACGATATTAGTCATTATGAATGTACAAAAACAAAGCTCTCTAATGAATATTAATAAATATGAGGGGTCCAAAACTATCCATCAAAGCGTATTCCCACACACTGAAATTAGTACTTACACACAAGTTCGTACAACAGGTGGAGGTATGATTTGTTGTAGGATAGTAAAAAATACTATCTATTTAAAATACATTGGTTACAGCGAGCAGCTTTTCATTAGAAGTCAAGTTCCTAAAACTCTATGTCTAAATTAACGAGCGATGTACATAACAATAAATCGAGTAATGGAAATTTGTGTGAAAATACTGAAAGTGATGTAGACATCAGTGTGTAAAACCCTACTAATACGTGATAAAATATTCAACATTGCACAATAATAAACTGGATTTTGCTACAAACTCATGACTTTGAGATCTTAAACAACGAACAGCACATAAATAATTGAAACAATCAATAAAAATTTTCTAGTTTTAGTTAGTTCACAACCTGTCCAAAAAAGTAAACACTGTTGGAGTAAGCTATTTTATAAAATACTGAATTTACCGTTACAGAGCACAACCAAAAAGCATTTAAGTTCTGCTTTATCTATCCAAAACTTTGGTATTACATAAACATTGAAATTTATATTATTGTAAATAACCAGTTAAAAAATCGTTGAGTCAATCAAGTTTGAATATTTAAAGACATAAGTTAGATACTAACACAAGTTAACTGGAATTGGTTTAAACGATTACTTGTTACAAAAAGATTATGTCAGTACTTATATAAAGAATGAACCTTTTTTTACTTTATCAATTATAGACAGTGATTAATTCCCTATATTTTCCAAATATATTTGTAAAACTATAGACACAAATAGTACGCTGAGTTGAGAAAACTATGGTGAACTAGTGTAAACTATATAACAACCTGCAAATATAATAAAAAATGAAATGAACTGACTTGTTCATATTGTAAAAATATAAATATTGTTTGATTGAGACAAAATGACTTACTTATTCTGTCGGAAATGAGTATTGAAAAAGTTCTCTACATAAGCGCGTCTAAAAATAAAAAAAATTATTAGAGGTCATTCAAGGACATGTAAGATTCAAGAAAATTAATCATGATGGGATACGAAGCGAAGTCGATGGTAAAAACCAAGCACATCATAGCAACATAATGAAACATTTAACATGTATGGAGACTTAGGTCACTATACACCGATATCAAAAGGGATGCATATAATGAAAATAAGCCGTCGTCAAATGCACAAATATGAGGGTAATCACATGGGAAAATTAAAAGTTTTTAAAAAGCTGTTTATTTATTTTTACCTAACCAGGACAAAAAAGCTACTACATTATTGGAACACATTAGATACAGCATGGCCGCCGAGAACTGAATTAAAGAAATTTACGCAACTAAGCATCCAAGATCATTTTAAGCCACATATGATAAACGACGAAAAGGGATGCTAACGAGTTACCCTTAACTAATCAATCAAAGTCAGACACAAAGGTTAAACCAAGAACAGCCGTGACTTCGAAAGAATAAGGAACAAAATGAGAGGGGGAATCAAACTACCGAGATTTTGTGAAAGTGTTGTTGAAATATGTATGATGAACAGATAGTTTCTCGAAAATTCTAACAGATGGATAAAGGGTTATGTTATGTTTTACGAAATGTTTAGGATATTCATTAAAGGGAAAATACAATTTCAGTCATTTTAACATACAACAGCAGATAAAGTTATTTTTTTACGTTGGCACAACGGAGATTTGGTCTTCCATAAGTGGTAAGTCAAGTATAGATGAAGTGTATTTTTGCTAAATAAGTATTCAGAGTTGGTTTGACTTATATTAGAGGCCAACAATCGAAACATTAATATTTATTAAGTATTTCTTGAGAGGATGATGAATAACCATCGCAATATTTAAAAACTAATTTCAAGATAAACCTAGTTTACTTAAATTCATAGTACTGTCGTAAGAATGAGAAGTTAATGTAAACAGGAATTGTGAGAATATTTGAGTACACATTTCGCTTCGAACGAACGGAAGTGAAATGTATTTAGTGCGACAACGAGAGGGATACTAAGTAAAATTGTTCCTTTTTGTAATATGGGAGACCTTTGGGGAGACTATTCCTAAAAACATGAAGAATAACTGGCATCTGGAATCATATAAATAAACTAATTTTGAAGAGCTTCATTGAAAAACCCTAGGGAATAGCCAGTACCAAGCACAAGCCGATAGGCGGTGAATCTAACCATATTTTAGCGGATGAATACTCCATTCTAATATGGGACTTCATTTATCAATAAATACTATGACGTACAGGAGATTACGTATTCATGCTATTTAATGATACTGTTACCTCTAAGGCAAAGACAGGAAATGCATAACTACATTTAGGGAGAACTAGTAAATTGAAGAACAGTGAGTGCGGCAGAAAATTTCAGTAACCATCTTTTGACTGAAAAACATGGATTTCAAATAACTTTCTTGCCATCGTATGGAACTTGTCTGGAATGTATAGAAAATATTTGTACTACTTTACTCTGACATGCTAAAACATCGCAGTTTGATAAGTAACTTTTCAATACAATCCATGAACTCAATAAAAGTATCACTGATAATTGTTAGTGTACCAAACTGATTTCTTCTATATCACCTTACTTGTAAAACATAAACTTATTTACAAAATACGGGATATAGTACTTTTTTTAGAACTAGATTTTCGTGTGGGGGGATAACGACACTACTACTCTTCAAGCTGTATTCACCAATGCTTGGTCTTTCTCATCTCCGTTGATACTACGAAAACTTCGACTCTTGCTACTTAATTCCACATCGTCGTGCTGATGTATGTGAACCAATGCTAACAGCACGCAATTTTTTTCTCGTACTGGAAATTAAAATGTTAATTTACAGGAAAACAGAATAAAGATGGAAAAAATGTTATTGGCAGTATTAAGTACAGAACCTGTTTAATCGTAGTTGTGAAATATAATTTAAACGAAACAACTATTAGACATGAAACAATTTAGTATTTATATGGTCAAATTATGAACTAAATAGCCATGCTCACATTTTAGTTTTAACACTATACATATGCTGAGTTATCAAATCAATGTAAATAATTAGTATAATAACTATCAGTGAGGTGCTCACTTGGTGTTGAAGCCACCCGGAGGATAATTGGGAAGATTCATACTTTTAACTGCACTGGCGACATAATCCACATTCAAAAAGTTAGCATCTTCGCCGGCTGAATTAATTATATCTGAGTATGAATAAAGGTAAATGACATAAACACTTTGTGTACTAGTTTATGAATGTTACATTAACTAGACTTTAAAATCCAAACAAATGACTTATAGTGTGTATAATGCAAATTAAAATACACATTGATTTAATTTGTATGGCTAATTAAGCCAATTTATGGTGAAAACATTTTAAAGCGAGTGACTGTATAAAACGAAGGAGATGTAACTAGTACGATGCAGGTTTGATCTAACATAAAGGGCGATTAAATCGTAACGTCGAAAGATTGGATTTTATTTTCAACCTACTGTTCAGAAATGAATCGGTAATTAATGGTGGAACTTTATTGTCTCAAAGACAATGTGAAACGCCTTGTGGATTAAAATTTTATGAGTTATAGGTGTATTGAGTGATCAAGAACTTGAAATGTGGATAAAGGATAAAAGATAACAAATGTTAGAGAAAAGTAATCTTATTCGTAAAACAATAATACTAGCGGTACTATTGTATTGTATTTTCCAATCAAATACATTGGGTACTTTACAATAAATTTCATGGAATGAATGAGTGAATGGATAATATGAGAAACAGGTCCAGGTTGATATGATAGGAAGATATTGAAACTTCATGCTTCATTTGTTCACCGAGAGTCCTCAACGTAAGTCTAAAAAATAAATACCATCGTAAGGAAATCGATCTACGCGTGTTTCAATTAACGTAAATTATGACAAACAATAAAAAGTGAATTCACTGAACATCTGTCCTAAATAAATTTAAAGACATAAAAAGCAGAGGAAAGGTTATTTATCCAGTGTTTGAATGTCTTCAACAACCAATAAAGCGGTCAAATGAAAATGTTATTAAAAAATATATCTATGATGAGTAAGCTTACCAACAATCATATTGTTTAAGGAAGTATCTAATTCCATTTCTTTACAAACTGCCTCTGGATTCACAGTTGGGGCGGCATCTAGCGCTACCAGGAGGACACTCATATTATCACGACTACCCTGAAGAAACCAAGGTAACAAAAAAACAGTATGATAGTAAAAAATAATCACGTAAGAAAATGATTCTAATTTCATTTTAAGACTTCATTTTATGAGACTCACAAAACTGATTACTGTTGAGTTGATTATTGGGAACCGAGCAATTCAAATGAAGTGTATTTTAGGACAACTTTTCATCTAACATGTAAATGACATGCAAGAATCATTCAGAACTAACCATGGAAAAATTGAAGTAACAATTAATAAACAATCAATATGTGAGGGGTGAAACTTCATTTATTTTCAAACTAATTGGGAAGAAAAAAAAACTTGATACTCATAGTGGATAAGTTGGTGATCTGGCTATAAAATAAGCAATTGAAAATTCTAGTAAATACGGTACAATGAGACTAATATTTCAAATTATCTTTCAGCATTAAATATACCCTTGTCTTGCTAAACATTAGTGCTTATTATCTGCTTTGTAAGTCATCGGAACTTTGGCACACCATTTATTATGTACATGCCAGGACTAAATGATGACCCTTGTATGTATATTATTAGAGTTATGTTAACAATTTAACTTTCAAAGAAATAATGGTCAATAAACATATTTCCGATTTGTTTTTAAGCAGCATTTTGATAATATATATATTTGGTAATTGAAAGTTGGTATTGTTAAAGCACTCTTAATATTGATTATTTACACAGTATTACTCACACAGAAAGCAACTACAGTTGGAAACAGGGTGAATATAAAACCGGAAATGTAGTATGTTTTGCAATAAGTCACTATAGCAGCATCTAGTATTTTTAGAAAGCAAACTTAAATGTTCGTCACTGCTCATTAAAACAATCCTTTTAGCTCTGAATTTTAATTTTCAAGTTGCAATCATCAAAGCCTACTGATGATGGATGAAATTCATTTCGTGATGGAGTTTGTGTAATTTGTATTCACACACGTGATTGCGATTGTCTTTAACCTATATCTAAATGATGTGTAATTAAACTCAATCTTAGTATTTTTAATAATACAGCAGTGCAGTGATAAATTCAGATGTTTACTTTACAATTAATAAACTACGACAGTTGTCAATCACAACAACAATGGTAGTTCACTGGTCACTTGACAAACTAACCTTGTGCAAACTAGTGTCGAGAATTTCTGAACAAACATCCGCCAAGGATGGTAAGCAACACAACCGATGAAGGACGTATGTAGTGAGAGTGTCGTTTTCAAACACGTCCCAAATTCCATCACAAGCAAGAAGAAGAACTTGATCGAATTCTTTTCTGCGTTCAACAATGAATATATCTGGTTCAGGAGAAACAAGCTGCTCTGTCGCTCCGCGATTAAGCACTTGTTTGTATTCGAAGTCACCCAGAGATCTGCAAACAAAAATACAATTCAATATGAAGCACTGGCAATAAAAATATAGGCCACTTACACAAACTTTCCCTAAGGGGTTACATCTCAGAAAGCTTCCAAGAATATTTAATCTAATTTCCCTCAACTAAATATGAACCAATCAGTCAACGGCAACGTAGAACCTGGTACATTGGTTCAAGTTGTCAAATCCTATTAACATGGCGCAATGACATGGCCATGGTAAATCTCGAAGTAGTAGAGGGAGTCACAATATTAGTGGTAATAGAAATTAAGTGTTGAAAATACAATTTGAGAAGTGAAACGACACAGGGAAAATTTACGAGGTTTGGGTGCCTCTAGCTTCCTTCCAGTTTACAATTACATCAACCATCATCGTCAACGTAGTCCGTGGAGCATAGGTAATACGTATCGCAACCACCTTAGTCAACCAAGAATAATCTTGTCACGCGCTTTACCATAGTTTCCTAATACTCCGAGTCCAACATCCGAAATGGCAACTTGATGAACTAAATATGAAGATTAAGATTGAACATATTTTGTAGTAATAGTGAAGCTTTTGTACAATATTTTCGCTCCTAAGTTATTTTCAATTAAGTAATGTTTTAATACAAACGGAAAAAGTTTGCCAGTGTGAAGGACAGAAATTAGAACAAATACGTGCAAGGCTGGAGAGACGAAGACTAGATGCTGTACTGATTCTAAAACGGATAACAACATTACTTTTAATTACAATGTTGATAAATATGTGAGTAGAAAGATTAATGAGATCCAGGAAAACCAAGAAACGTAATGTAACAACACACACTTCTTTGATAAACAAAAACCCGACAGAACTAGTGAGAATGAGTTATTTTAAACGAAGGTACAAAGATTACGAAGGCTTTCAAAACAAAATGTTACGCTTTAAAAATTTTAGGCCCAAACGATGCACGAGTACCAATTATAATGTCCATAACACGCATAACATATCCAACAGAAATCTCAGATATCTGTTTGCTGATTTTCATATGTTATCATGAACGAAAACGTGAGCTTTGTTTTCAAAACACTGGCAACTATTTCTTTAAACCAGAAAACACAAGATTTTTATGGTTTTTAAGCTAGTGCGAGTCGTTTTCCGCCATCGTTGTTTTCCATTGCTTACTTTCAAAATCGCGTTTCATGTCAGTCCGTAACAACGTAGAGCTTCGTACGTACGTACATCAGTTCGAGTTGCCATACCACATTAGCACAGAGATGCAGTGGTCGATTCAAATCCCGTAGTGGTAGATGTAGTAAGATTATAAGCTGTAATCAGAAAAATTAGGGTTTGGAGATGTTATTTAAAAAGTATAATCCAGTGAAATAAATTTGGGAAAAGAAAAAAAGACAAGGAGGAATTAGGAGATTAGAATTTGAAAGAACACAAAGAGTGGGTGCACCTGCGACATTGCAAACGATTTTGAGCCATGTCATTCAGGGTCTCTAATCATCGGTTGCTATCATCTCGCGATCCCCAACCAGGTAGTCTACACCTACCAACATGACTCAGTCCACTTATCAGTGACTTCATGGACTTGTCAGGATAATAATAAAGGATCTATCAAGAAAATCAGTGCTACCTATTGTTATTAATGGTAACGTGAACCAAACATGAAGATGTTTTTTTTAAGAGAACGCTTATTTGCAATACATGCGACCGAAGCTGCTACCTTGACGCGGTGGTCGAGCTTGCCTATCGTGATGACCCAACCGAGCTATATTGGCTGGAACATATGTTCCTGTAGGTTCTACCATGCTAGGCAGGTCAATTGGAGAACGGTAAGACTAAAAGCAGCAACTCACGGTCTGAGGGCGAAGTAGTACTGCTGACTGTAGAGGGGTGTGACAGCAGTAAGGTGTTTCCCTCGGACAACCAGCATGACAGCGATACTGCCTTCCCACAAGGAGGGGTGGGGTTAGAAAAGGTCGACCCTAAAAATGTCGCACCTTACCTTACCTCACAGATTTCCGTCTCCGGCGGTAAGGCCCTATGAAGAACGGAGCTAACACATTAAAAACCTTCAACGAAAAGGCCGTGCGCGACCGGCCTCAAGCAGTTGTCCCTTGGGCTCTGCGGTCACGCTCCCAGGTCGTCAAGACCAACACTAATCCAATTTCCTTTTCAGGTTCCTCAAGAAATACCCTTCCACGGTGTGGGCAGCCGGGAAGTGACACCAGCCCTCATACCCGTAACAGCACACGAGACCAAGTTGGTCACATTCAAGTCCATCCTACACCTCCTAATACCTCTCTTATCTACATGACTAACCCTCTTCACGCCTCTTTATCACCTCGCACCGCTAGGGCAAACGATTCGAGTACGTGGAACGCTATTCCTGGTCTCCTGAAACCACGCTCTAAACTACACGTAGGAGCTTTTAACGCCCGAACACTTTGCCAAATAGGACAGCAGGCTTCCTTAGCTAGGACCTTAGAATCTCGCGCCATCGATGTGTGCTGCGACTCCGAAACGCGCATACAGGATCCGAGTAGCGTCATTCATTTGACCTCACCATGCCAAAATAAACAACCGACTCGATTTACGCTTCGTGTATCTGGAAGCCCTGATTCTGCTTCCCGTGGCCTCGCCGGCGTAGGTATAGCATTGAGTCCTAGGGCAGAACTAGCTCTCTTAGAGTGGATCCCAGTAGACAGTCGTTTGTGCGCTGTCCAACTAAACGGAACAGTAAGGATCCGAAAAGATAGGGACACTCGTCGTTGCCTCTTCGTCGTCTCTGCCTATTCTCCCACTGACTGCAGCTCAGATGATGTAAAAGATGAGTTTTACAGAAAGCTTTCGAATCTTCTCCGAAAAGCTAAGCGCTCGGATGTAGTAATAGTGACCGGTGACTTTAATGCTCAAGTAGGTAAACTAAGCGATAAGGAAAGACACCTAGGTGGATCTTATGGTGTCGTGGCTCAAAGAACAGATAATGGCAACCGTCTAGTGCACCTATGCTCAGATAACCGCCTGTTTCTTGCAAACACTAACTTTAAGCATAAGGAAAAACATGTTTTGACATGGCCACTACCGAATTCGTCCCAACGTTGAACCCGAATAGATCACATCGCTATCAGCCACCGATGGAGGGGCTCGATAGAAGACTGTCGCTCATTCTGGAGCATATGCCTAGATTCAGATCATGCTCTAGTGCGAGCGCGTATTTGCTTGCGTCTTACTGGACGTAGGAAAGACTCTGCAAGGAAACCTCTTAGGGGCCTACTTAATGATAGTCAAGCTAAGAGTATATTTCAGGAACAACTAGGAAAACAGTTAGGCAGCCATGCATATGATGCCCACCCAGATGCAGCATGGAATGATATCCGAAAAGCTGTGGGAACAGCAGTGATATCTGCTAGTAAGGTAAACCAGAAGGTTAGGGATCAACACTGGATCTCAGCAGCATCTATCGCACTGATAGATGCTCGGAAACTCATTCCACCTGGCTTTGAACATAATGAAGAGCGGAGTCAGCTTAAGCACAAGCTGACAAGAAGTCTACGCAATGATCGCGAACAGTGGTGGGTAGCGAAAGCAAGAGAGATGGAAAAGGCAGCGGCAATAGGTAATAGCAGACAATTGTTCAGACTCGTTAAGGAAACCGGAATTAGGAACCCGACCGTTAGCGAAACAATCTCAGAGAAAGATGGACATATTATTCATTCTCAATCCAGGAGATTGGATCGATGGGCAGAACACTTTAGGGATCAGTTCAACTGGCCTTCAGCCACACTTCGGTTTCCCACGATCTCTAGTCAACCTGAATGGCAAGTTAATGTAGGTCCTCCGTCCCTTTACGAAGTTGAAAAAGCCATAGGAAATCTGAAACGAGGGAGAGCAGCAGGTCCTGACAGGTTTGCTCCTGAGATTTTTAGGGATGGTGATCCAGTATTAGCAATGAGACTAACCGAGGTCTTAGGTAGAATTTGGGAACTGGACGTAATCCCATCTGACTGGTCTCAATCACTGATTGTGCCAGTCTATAAGAAAGGAAAAAAGTCCTCTTGTGACAATCACAGAGGAATCACTTTGACTAATATAGTGTCTACAATATTAGCTTCAATAATACTTCGACGCCTAACTAAAGCTCGTGAAGAGCAGATTAGAGAAAACCGGGCCGGTTTTCGACCTGGACGTGGTTGTATAGATCAGATATTCACACTAGGCCAGGTTCTAGAACACAGACACACATTCAGACGCCCGACAATAATAGTATTTCTCGACCTAAGGCGGCATTCGACTCTGTTGATCGTGAGGTTCTATGGCAGTTTGTCACTGAAAGGAGTACCAAAGAAGTACATTAACCTTATAAAGGCTCTCTACTAGAACACAACTGGTAGAGTGAGAGCTTATGACGAACTGCCATCAGAATTGATTACCTCAAGTGGTGTTCGTCAGGGCTGTCCACTCTCCCCATTCTTGTTCAACTTTGTCGTCGACGTACTTTTAGAGATAACACTTTCCTCGTCTAGATTTCCGGGGGTTGAACTTCTACCGGGAGGTTCACTTGTTGACTTAGAATATGCTGATGACATAGTTCTATTTGGTGAAGACGCTGACAAAATGCAGAGTCTTCTGACCACTCTAAGCAACAATGCAAGCATGTTCGTGATGCAATTCTCCCCCTCGAAATGCAAAATGTTGCTTCAGGATTGGGTTACATCGACACCCGAACTAATGATAGGGAGTGAAGTAATTGAGCGTGTCGACCGCTTCACTTATCTTGGAAGTCTCATCAGCCCTTATGGTCTGGTGTGTGACGAAATCTCAGCACGGATACAGAAGGCTCGACTAGCTTTTACCAACTTGCGTCATTTATGGCGTAGGCGAGATATCCGTCTATCAATCAAAGGACGTGTTTGCTGAGCAGCAGTTCGTTCCGTCCTACTTTATGGCAGTGAAACATGGCCTGTAAGAGTAGAGGATATTCGTAGGCTACTAGTATTCGATCATAGGTGTCTTCGAAACATTGCTCGTATATCCTGGGACCATCGAGTAAGTAACACAGTTGTTAGGACACGGGTACTAGGTAAGGATGGCAAATCAATTGATGAAGTAGTGAAACTTCATCAGTTGAGATGGCTGGGGCATGTGTTACGTATGCCCAACGACCGACTGCCTCGATGTGCGATGTTTTGTTGTATAGGAGTAGGTTGGAAGAAAGCTAGTGGCGGCCAGACCAAAACATGGCACAAATCCATGAAGTCACTGACAAGTGGACTGAGTCATATTGGTAGGTGTAGACTACCTGGTTGGGGACCGCGAGATGATAGCAACCGATGGTTAGAGACCCTGAATGACATGGCTCAAAATCGTTTGCAATGGTGCAGATGTATACACTCTTTGTGTTCTCCCAAATTCTAATCTTCTGAATTCTTCATGTTCCTTTCTTCTTTCTCTTTCGAAATTTATTTCACTGGATTATAGTCCTTGAGTAACATCTTCAAACCCTAATTTTTCTGATTACAGCTTATAATCTTACTACATCTACCACTACGGGATTTGAATCGACCACTGCATCTCTGTGCTAATGTGGTATGGCAACTCGAACTGATGTGCGTACGTACGAAGTTCTACGTTGGTACTGACTGACTGCGAATACAGAACTATGCTGGTCACCTCTCAAATTACGAAATGGTATTTAATATTGACAACTTTGTAGATAAAATTATTGAATCACACAATGTTACTTAGATATAATGGGAACAAGTGCTTAACAGGAAGTAAACCTTATGTATCATGTGCATAATATTAACACCTGTGACTTCGAGTTGAAGAGAAATATTTTATTTCTCTAACTTTATGTCTGTGGACATCTAATACACTAGAAAACAAGTAGAGAAAATATTTGAGGGGTGTCACAACTTTCTAGGTATAGAAGCTTTATCATCCACTTAAACAGTTGCCGCACTAAAGATTGATCTTTAATACCTAAAAAATGCGTAGAAGCTGAGAAAAAACAACATGGAAGATATGATTTACCTGGAGACAGCCAGGGATCCATTAACACGAGACAACATGACTTTGCCGCCAGCTTCAGAAATTCGTCGACTTTCTATGGGATTATATGGTTTGTGGTCTTGGGTCGCTAGGAAGGTTTTGTTGTCGCGAATAAGTATTGCTCTTGAATCACCACAATTTGCCATAATTATATGGGTTGGTGTGACAAAGGCAATTACTGCTGTAGAGCCAGATTTTTCATCGGAATCATCAGATGCTAGGTCTCGGTCGAATGATAAAAACCCGTTAATGATGCCTTTCTTGACCAAAGATGTATCAAGCTCTTTATCAAAGCTAAGCTTCTGAAATTCTTCTGTGTTAAGAATAGCCTAAATGTAACCAAAATTAAAAAGCAGATTACTAACTTACATCTAGCAACTTGGCTGCACAAAGCTCTGAAACGCGAGATCCTGCATGTCCATCAAATACGCCGAAATACGACCAGTATTGGAAAGGACTGGGGAGCTCGGACTTAGCTACATGGGCATCTTCCATTTCTAATCGCCATCCTTGCATGCTTGAAATGGCATACCGAAGTCCGTTTCCTTCTCCCACGTTAACTACTTTTTCTGTTTTGGGTTTTTCCAGGAAGGCACCCATAAGCACATAAGAAAGCGCTAAAAAGTTTAATTGAGAAATTAGTCACTTTGCCGAAAAGAATAGGAAAATTGGTAAAATAACTTATCCGGGACTACAGACGATGAAAGTGAGCTATATCCAGATTCATATAGTGAGATTAAATAATTTTTTGAGTAATACTTAAGTTTACGTCGACTACTTAAACTAACCGACTGGATCACATGTTTTGAGAGTAGTCAGACAAATGGACCGTTTACAAAAAGAATACCAGCCAGTATTACAATACCGCCTTTAAAGCCTGCAAAGTTAAGTACATCTTTAGAAGTAATAAGTAAGAAATTTGTGTACGTCGAATTGAAGTGACTAGCTGTTGAAACAGATTTAGTGTAGGTAAACCAGATAACTACCTAATTTTGAACTTCGAAGTGGTGGCTAAGCAATCAAAAGGCATATTTCGACCTGCAGGTTGCATTAGTTGAATACCGGTTCACTAGCTTTGGTTTAGACAGATAAACACAATCAACAACCGGGTACAGATTTACGTTGGATCGAGTCATTCTACACTAGCCCGAAGAGATAAATTTATTTATAATATTTATTTGAACACATAAACACTGGTACGAGGGGACACTAAATACAATGAGGCCAGTAGCAGTTATCATTGATTTGTGTAAGGGCTATGATACTGTACTGCTCGGGTGCCTAGACCGAAGCAGGTGGTCTTCCTAGGGGACCATGTCCGGAGCCTTCGACATAATACACAAAGTAGTGGATCAATGTCAGGAGATGCAGTTCCATGGTAGCCTGAGATAAATATAACAAAATGGATTGTGAAGGAGCCTAAATGTTATGCTAATGATGAATGAATATTCGTCATACGGTTCAGAAAAAACGTATCACGAAGGTACGTACATAAGCAGGAACAGTGGGCCCCCAAATGCCCTGGTACGGCCAAGAGTGGGGAGAGCTCGCTCTACCTCTCGAAAAGCTCTCACATGGTCACGCGTATATGGCCTTTGCCAGGGAAGCCATACTCACTGCCTTCTCGTGGCGGGGGTGTTGTTCACGAAAATGAGGACGAAAAGCGAATGTCCGGCGCTTTAACCGGATTCCAAACCAATGGTGCACATGGGCTCCAGTATCCTGCGGGAACAAATGGCGTATGGACCAACTGTTGGTCACCGGCATCCATGGGGCTGCATCTCCTTACGATGTTCCACTGCCTTGTGGATCAGACATTCAGGTCAAAGGCTCCGGGTGTGGCCCCTAAGAAAACCACCTGCTTCGGTTTGGGCACCCGGGCAGTATCACAGCCCTCACACATATTGAATGAGAATTGTGTGGCGCATATGTATTTGGTGCCTCCTTGTACCAATATCTATGTGTTAAAATAAATAAATAATAAAGGGACAGTGGAGCTCAAGAGTGAAGGTAGATACAGAGTGCATGCATTACGCTATTGAGGACTATCACGAGTAATACTAATCATCTTCAAAAACCGATCGCCATTATCATGAAGATCCAACCAAGTAGTCTGGATCTAACATGGATCAGAGAAACAGTTGATAACTTCATGGTCAGTCAGTCACGTGCAACGAACCTAATATATATGCGCGACGGTCTAAGTAGCAATATTACATAAGCTCGAGACAAAATTATCAAAACAAATCCATGCCTTGTTCTGTCTGCCGCAGGCTTTTTCAACCTGATCCTACACCAAGAAACATTGTGCGTCAACTTAAGCAGTAATTAGGGATACACAAATGTTCATACCAGTCGATAAAGATTCACGACTTCATCGCGAAAATTTGTTAGTTAATACCATATACTGAACCTTAGCACTACTCACTTAATTACTAGAAAACGCGAGTAATGTTTTGAAGACACCGACGATTAAAAAACTGCAGCAACCACGTCCCCAACTTTCATAGATCATGCTCCACAGACATAAAGTAATGCACGGCGGACTGCTGAGCAGTAATCACATACTTTGTTAACAAGTGGATATCACACCTACAAATGACGCAAAATGGAAAACGCCAGAAAGGCAGTTCCATTAGGAAACATGAAGGGTGGCCTAAATTTATGTAGGCCAACTGGGAAATATATTGAACTAGATTTACCGATATTTAATAGGTATCATAGATATATTGACAGCAGCGCAATTTAGAGGTTTCCTGGAAGTCCATAGAGTTGGGAAGTAGGGTGGAATGTGATACCACACGGCTGTCGTAACGGATATACACAGAGCAGTGATTAAATCGGTGATCCAGCAGTTGAGCATTGAATGTTATGTAGAGTCTATACTAGGGTAATTGGGGTGCTAATTTTCGGCAGTGTTTTCGCTTAGCGGAGCCACCGATAGATAAATTAAATTAGTTAGACAGTACATGTAAGGAGGGTGAATGTTATTTGATGTTAGTTAACGAAATAACAAACACTATCTGCCCCGCAATACATAAAAGTATCCGGAGATAAGGAGTGTTAAAAGTTAACTACATTTTACGTGATATGACATGAAAGCCACATATTTTGCAGATTATTAATTTTTGAATTCAGAAACATACAGATCAATGACAGATTCAACAAAGTTAGTAAGAAATGACATATCTTGGTTAGGCCTGAATATCTAACTTGTAATATGGAGAAGTTCAAGAAATAATAACGAGTTGATAAGACAGTGATTAAGTACAAAATGTATTTTTAACTTGCTGTTGACCCATGCCTTGAAACTGAAATTTATTGGTAATTAAACGATTTATTTACTTTTAGAGAAGAAGCGATACAAAAGTGTATTACTGTTTGAACCACTTAAGTTGATAGATTAGATTTATCTGAACACATAAATACTAGTACGACGGGGAACCGAGTACATATACATCACAAAAATCTCATTCGATTTATGTGAGGGCTGTGATACTGCTCGCGCGCCCAAACCGAAGCAAGTGGTTTTCTTAGGGAGCTACGCCCGGTGCCTTCGACCTAAAAGTCTGATGCACAAGACAGTGGAGCATCGGTTGAAGAATTGGACATTCGGTTTTCGTACCTCTCAATTTCGTAAATCACACCCCCGCCACGAGAAGGCAGTGAGTAGGACTTCCCTGGAGGAGGTTATATACGCGTAGCCATGTGAGAGCACACTCTCGGCCGTTTTAACTCTGACAGAGTCAAAGCCAACACATTTGAGAACAAGAATATATGCCAAGTGATATTCGCAAACAGCAGCTCAGCATGAAAACTCAGTCTAATGGACTTTTACAATCTGAAAATCTATCGATAACAAGCACCCATATTTATTATCTGACACCTGCCTAGTGAGTACAAGTGCTAGTATAGTAGATATGCCTACCGGAGTATTTAAGGAACATACAACAAAATGACACAAAGACGTGTTGAATACTTAGCAAATATACACCAGGGAATGCGAGTGTATCCAAGATAAAAACTATACGAAGCTGATCATGTCATTGATACAGCACTATAACAAGGATTTTGGATTATCGAACCAATGGTCGGCTAGGACTATGAAAGTGTCACGCTGTAGTCCAAGGGTTATTATAACTGTTAATCTCCAACAATGACTACACAGAATATGGAGTAAAACAGATGTGTAGGAAACGTCTTTCAGGTCACTTCAGGAAATAGAGCGAGGGCATTCGAAACCAACAATAAAGACAATTCGGAGAACTTCCCTACTGACAACCAACTACCGGAAGTAGTCTCCCCCATTTGAACGACTTAAGAGTAAATCAGATACGAAGAAATGTATTAAAACGGTTTCCCTGTTGCCAAATCAGAACATGACACAGCACTACAATGAAACATCGACCAAATTTGTTTCAACACGATCAAATTCGAGCGTGTTTCATAGCTGAAGTGATAAAGTTGGATGAGTAAACATACCAACTTTACATATGACTAACTGTAAGAAACACTACACAGCTCTGATATAATCGTGGAATATTTGCTATTTGTAGGTATATTCACCTTGATCAGCTTAAAAAAGAACTACCGATACTTTAGGAAATAAAAAAAGACACAGTGTTCAAATAAAATCATCACACTTAGCGCAACTCTCTTCACGCAGTTATAAAAGTTACCAATCGGACATACATAACCAGCAGAGTTCAACACCAAATCATCAGAGCAGTAACATAGACCTTCGAACAAGTTTAACAAAACAACAATGTACTCACTGGTTCAGTTACAATAAATAAAGATGAAATTCTTAAAATGTACTTTATGGAAAGAAAAATTTAGTTTTTTGCTTCTCGTGTGTTTAGATAGTTTATTCAAACGTCGTATGGCGATGACGAGTCCTGTACATCTGCATATTTGTAAAATGAGTTGTAGTAACAGTGATCTCTAAAACATAATATGCATTAAAAATATGATAATTTGTATGGTTGCCTTTTTATTGATTGTTGTCAAGATGTGAGGTAATTTCCAAAGTTTCGTTACATAAAGTGCTCGACTTAGGTTATTGTTTGATATCCTTGACTTGCTTTTATTGCTTGGTCTTACCTCAAGCCACCTGTTTTTTTATAATAATGGATTGAAAGTATTGATGGTTTGTTCGGAAAGTGTTTAAAAATGTATACGGCGTGCGAGCCAGCAAGTTGGTCAATAATTAGTGGCTATAGACACCAAATATATTTGATTGAATGACAATTAATGTATATTCGATTGATTTCATACCTTGATCTGCCATTTTTATCAGTTTGCGAAACTGCTTCTAATAGTGCCAAAGATTCAGATTGACTGGCACTGTCATAAATGTATACGAATTGGTATGCCAGTCTACTTATTTCTGTGGTACTAAGCATATACGCTTCCCGTCAGTGTCTTTTTCAGCATATCTTGCTAAAGTACAACGCAGGCCAATCCTCACATTTTCTGATACATGTGATATGACAGTCATCTGATGTCATGTACAAGATTCAGTCAAGAGATTCTGTACTTTACACTATAAATTTAGCAGGCTTGATTTTTTTGTCCGAGGACAGATGTCTGAGAACCTGTGTCAGTCTTTTTTCGCAAACAGAACAACAAACCATTTGTGACAGAGTCCTCGTGTTTTGCAAACGAAAGTCGTTTGTCAGATGTCTTGATATGCATTACTTTATTCACAGACTATCTCGGCTTAACGACACACTTATTCTGTTCTCCTTATTGTTTTTCATGTTTGTGATCCCCATAGTAGCCATTTGCTTAAAATAACCTAATCAATTTTCAACTAATAACCAATAGGATTCTGAATGTTTCGTTACATGATAAGTCAAACTTCAGTGGAGTGTAGTCAGAAAGCACGTAGTCGAATAGTAACAAGTTTGAGTGTGTTTCTGTCGAGTCACCCATCGTGCAAGCATATTTACGACCGCTAAGTACCATTTTGACTACTTATTCCGCGAGGGAATCTTTTTCGATGAGGTTGTATTCAAAATTCTATTATTGTATGTATTTGTAGAGATTATAAATTGATGATTAACCGTATGGCCGTTAAAATTAGATTCTGCAGCATGATGTGATAACATGTTGAAGTGGAGATGAAATATAATCAGAGAGAACATGGAAATAAAAATAATTCGATTGAGGAACTAGGTGCTTTGATAAATGCACATATAATTGGTCACATGTGAGAGTTCGCGCTTCAAGTTCTTGATGAAAGTTGGTTGGTTAGAGAATACTAACCCTAAGATTGTGATGAAAGTTCTGTTGATTACTCACTTCTGTTATTCGTCAAGTGCGAGACTTCTTCCAGGCCATACTGATGTAGATATTCCTGCTTTCGTTGTCTTTGTTGCGGTTGTAAACTATCCTGGAACTTCTGGTTATGATTGCATTTCAACATGGAACTGTAGTGTTTCAGAAATTTAATTTAAAGTCTTGACAATTAGAAGCATGTAATGAAGATGGTTGTGAATTATTTCGCTATTTGGATGTTAGTTATTTATTTGAACACATAAATATTGGTACAAAGGGGCACCGAATACATATGCGCTACACAAGTCATCTGATTTGCTTGTGCGTTGTGATACTACCCGGGTGCGCAAACTGAAGCAGGTGGTCTTCCTAGGGGACCAAGCCCGGAGCTTTCGACCTAAAGGTCTAATACACAAAGCAGTAGAGCAACGTCACGGGATGCACTCCCATGGTAGCCCGCGGCCAACAGTATGTTCATACACCTTTTGTCCCCTCACGGTACTGGAGCCCATGTGCACCATTGCTTTGGGATCAGGGTTTTCCAACTCCTCTAGGTGCACCATCCGTATTCACCAGCCCCGTTAAAGTACCGGACATTTGCTTTTCATCATCTCAGTTTCCTGAACAACATCTACCGCGAGAAGCTGGTGAGTAGACCTTTCTTGGCAGTGGCTGTATGCGTGTGACCATGTGAGAGCATTTCATCCGTACCAGGGTATTTGTAGGATGAGAATATATTTTCCTAATGGGAAGCGAAACTTATTACTAGGGTATTCATCAGAATCCCAAAAGCTTATAAATTTAGTGTATACCTGAATTTTATCAAGAACTGAGTGTATCCACACAGAAAAGCTATTTTTCAGTAAGTTTTAACATCGTTCCACAACTTTCAGTACGCAAACATGTTTCACATGTTTTATGCATATAACTTTCTGTTTTAGATTGTTACTAATTGCTTAAATGAAAAAAACTGTTGTTTTGTTATAGTATTTAACTGTTCTAATCGGATACATACATATACATGTAGGAAGCTATGTTCGGAAATGAAGATATGTTTGATGACGGGGAGTTATCCGTTGAATATTCCTCAGATGACAACTCCGAACCCAATGTTGATTTGGAAAATCAGTACTACATGGCAAAGTCGCGAAAAGATGACAATCCAGATATGGCACTTTTAGAATTCCAGAAAGTTTTAGATATTGAAGGTACTGGGAATAAAGGCGATTGGGGATTCAGAGCATTAAAGCAAATGATTAAAATAAATTTCAGGCTTGGAAGGTTCGATAATATGATGGAAAATTATAAAGTCCTCCTTACCTACATAAAGTCAGCTGTAACTCGAAATTATTCTGAGAAGTCCATTAATTCGATTTTGGATTACGTGTCAACCTCCAAACAAATGGATTTGTTGCAGCAGTTTTATATCACTACTCTAGATGCCCTTCGTGAGTCGAAAAACGAAAGATTGTGGTTTAAAACTAACACAAAACTGGGTAAACTTTACTTGGAACGTGGTGACTATATGCATTTACAAAAGATTGTTAAGGAGTTACGTGAATCTTGTCAGACAAATGATGGAGAAGACGATCTTAAGAAAGGAACTCAGCTGCTAGAAATTTACGCACTGGAAATTCAAATGTATACAGCCCAAAAAAACAACAAAAAGCTTAAAGCATTATATGAACAGTCTTTGCATATTAAATCAGCCATTCCACATCCTCTCATAATGGGAATAATACGAGAATGTGGTGGGAAAATGCATCTTCGCGAAGGAGAATATGCGAAATCCCATACTGACTTCTTCGAAGCCTTCAAGAACTATGATGAATCTGGATGTCAACGTAGGACACACTGTCTAAAGTATCTTGTCTTGGCCAGCATGTTGATGAAATCGGGTATTAATCCATTCGATTCACAGGTTTGCGATTTATTATTTTATTTTTCAAAGCGATGGGAAAATTGCTTGGTATGGTTACTAACCGAATATTTTGTAGACTGTATGACTTCATAATACTTTGAATCTATCTGATTGTGCTTGACGATGCAACTCATACTCCTCTGTAACTGAATTGTTTAGAGTTATAGCAAACTAAAAGTGCTCCATAACTCCGAAGCAAAAATGGCTTATTATCCCCCATCACAAGGGATTAGACCATCGTCAAAGCATATAAATTCATCCTAGACAATCTCAAATATGTAAAAGACCGACTCCTAAGTAGCAAACCAAGTTTATATCAGATGGTCAATTTATTTATAACCTTCTTATTCTCATTCAGTCACTTAAATGTCATATAAATTACAATGGACTAATCCTTTTTATGTACTATGAGGCAACTCATCTACTAAATGCAGTTACGTGTATTTAGCCATAGCTTTGGTGTGTTTGTAGTACTTTTCGGTCTGAGTCTGAACCCAAATGGTTGAGATTTGAGTGTTTCGATAATTTCAGAGCTTTCTTCAGTGTGTTGAACCAGAATATGCTCTAAGAGTTTTGCTAGAAGGCAATATGGTTGAAGTGTTTTTAGGTTTCGAAAGCTCCATTATAGTGTCTTGATTATGCTAAGCAGTATAATAATCTCCACGTAGTTTCAAACCAAAGAGTTCATAGAGGGTCCCTTAAACTTGCCATTCCTTTGTTTTTTGGGTTAGTAACCACCTGATAGCAACTTTGTAAAGGTTGAGTGGTAGTAGTGTTGATCGATGCCTCAAAAGCTCGTAATTACATGCATCATTTCACATGTTCTTATGTAGTGTCATCATTCCTTACTATGTTACACTTCTTAATAGCCTTTGTTCCACTTTTTCCCTGTTCAGATAAGTGAAGTACGCTAAATGTGCTTTATTTTGAATTCAAGAAGCAATATGAAGATTTATTTACAATTAAAATAATGAGCCAAGGTTCTATTTTGACTTTAGTTCATTACCCTAATATTATTTACATGTTTTCCTTAAACTGCATTTGCTTTGTAGGAAACAAAACCGTACAAAAATGATCCTCAAATTGTGGCTATGACAAGTCTTGTAACAGCTTATCAGAACAATAATATCGTAGAATTCGAGTCCATTTTACGACATCAACGTGATTCAATTATGGAAGACTCTTTTATTCGCGAACACATTGAAGACTTACTTCGTAATATTAGAACTGAAGTTCTCATCAAATTAATTCGCCCGTACACCAGAATACGCATACCTTTCATTTCACAACGGTTAAATCTAAGCGACCCAGAAGTAGAAAGTCTTCTAGTGGCTTGCATTTTAGATAATACAATACAAGCGCGAATTGATCAAGAGCATCAAATTTTGGTGCTTAGTACAGAAGCTACTTCAGAAGCGCGTTACCAGGCTCTTGACAAGTTAGCCCTACGGTTACGGCATTTACAAACGGCGATGTCCAACAGAGTACCTATAACTAATTAAAGGGCTTTTGAATTTAAGCAATGACAAAAAACCAATACGACATGCAACATAATATACCGAATTTTCTTCAATACACGAAAATTACAAAAAGCGTACGATTTGCAAACAGAAACGTTGTTAACAATCTTATGTAAAATTTACTATGGCAAAAATACAACTGATAACGCAAGTAATTTGCTTTCATCCATCAAGTGATAACAAGTACAATGTAGACTGTGTGCATACCAAAACTGATGGATAGGGTTTGTCTGTAGCAACAAATCCAATTATTGGGTCATTAGTTGGTAGGGTAACTACGTGTTGTGATGCGACATGTACAATCTGTTGCTTTTTTGCTGAAGATGAGTTAGCTGTTGTGCGTTTCCGGAGTTCTGTATCCTTGGAATCATTTGATAGGGGCTGACAATATATGTAGATTCTCCGTGTCAAGTCTGCAACTGCCACAAATTTTAGTGGAGATCCGTCCGATAAAACTGGACTAGAAACAAACCTACTTTCACGTTTACTGGCGAGAACGTAGCCAAATGCTTGCAAAGTTGAGACATGTCTCCATACACATGGGTCTCTTCCTGTCAGTGTATTCTGGCATAGTGGTAACCAAACTATCCCATCTACATCATGACGGATACAGAAAGCGTGTGTAGCATTTGGTTTCCCCGTAGCACAACGAATTTTGAACAACCATTGGTGTCCTGATAAATAGGCCTAAATTAGAGCAATTCGCTTATTAAACAAATTTAATATAAAGAGGGTTATCTAGTTAGTTCGAATCATGTATAAACAACAACTAAAAATGAGTACGAAAACTAGACTGCTTGGACTGCGAGACTGGAAAAATAACTAAATTTATGTGTCTTGAAAGCTTACGTCTAACGTAAATCATTTTTTAGAAAGGAGACTTGGCTGGAATAGTTTCAAAATAATACTCGCATAATGCTATTATAAAGAATGCGTAGGTTAATTTTAAACACTGACATCGGTTATTCGTAATATCAGTGCAAATGTTTTCGTATCAGTAACGAGATCATATCCACAAAATATAACAGGCGTTACACCAGTCGTCCCATCAGATTCATCTAGTTTTCAGAAAAAAAAACCCATATTGAAAACAGGTCTACTTAAGCTCCATTCTCGTTAATAACTGACGGAAGTAGGTTAGCCACTTACTGTAAGTTAGGAGTACTTGGGAAATCTGTCCAAACTGAGGTTTCAGCGTGAACTTGCAGACAATTTTCCAAATAACAATCTCATCGATCAGGAATATTTTTAACCCTAAGAACGGTATGGTTACAGGCTATTCAGTTTAAATTATTAGTTCGCAGTTCTCTGACAAACAAAACACAAAATGTTTAACCTACGGTCTTGCTGGGCCAGTTCACTGTATGCAATAGGTTAAAAACATGGGCAGGTCTTAGAAGTTGGTAGCTTACCTGATTGTTTATACCCTCTAAATGGTTAGTAATGTTTATTTCTTGCCAATGAATCATGAGAGCTTTCCGGTTACAAAGAAAGGCTTGCGAATCAATGTCACTGGTGACCTAGTGTGATGTAGCTAAATCGAAGCCATTATTTGGCGTGGTAAGCCTGCTCGTTAATAAAAAAATGATATGCACAAAAATAACTTAGAACCTGGAATATCGGGAATTTACCCTAAATTGTTATATCAACACATCTGGGGAACTGTCCGCTGAAGTCAAATGTAGGAAGCATAGCATGCCAGTTCCT